GAATGAAATAGTTTTTTACAAATTATTTTATTTTCATATTACTTTTAGTTTTGAACATTTGAAGAAGAACGTGGGAAGAAGGCCATAATGAAGAAATTAGTTTGGACAATGTTACCCTTGCTTTTTGAAAAGAAAAATCTCATTTTATTTGTTTTAACGGAGCACTTTAACAATCTGTGGACTGAAGGACGTTTGAGGGTGAAAATTACCCAAAAAAAGTTTTCCACAAAAACCTTAAAAGGTAGGGACGTTTTGTGCTAATTATCCTTATTTGATATATCTGATAATGCCACTTCTGGTGTCATGGACCATGGACAAACTCTCTTACATTTTAGTCCAAGACTTATATGTAATATCTTTATTGAATGGCAGTGCGAAGTCGCCTAATCGAATTCCATATCTCCTCTCTATAGCTCTCATGCTATGTGGATGTGCTTTAGTATTTTCACTCATTGCTTTCATGAAAGGACCTTCATCACTCTTAGCAGCAAGTGCCAAGTCAGGCTTTACGGCTGCATTCTCGTTGATATTTGTTTCTGAGATTGGGGACAAGGTAAAATATCTTAGAGAGACAAAATTTCTATGTTGTTTTTGTCCCACATATATGTGAGCATGTTTGGCCAAGTTTAAAAAGTTTATCTAGAGGTTGTCTGAAGAAGCTTTTGGTAAAAGTTTTAGCAGACAAGTGATGTAATGTGTTTGAAAAGTTGATAAAAGTTGTAGCTCCTTCAAATGTATGTTTAAATTGGACAGAGTTGAAAATTTGACAAAACTTTTAGTGCAGAGTTATCAAACAATCACTTATTTACTTGCATATAAATAAGCAACTTTCAAAGTAAATAGTTATATCTAGTCAAAGTGGGAAATAAGGAAGTAAATTAATTTGACATTAGGGGAAGAGTTAGTTTCATAAGAAGTCTATGATTTGTACTTCGAAACTTTAGTTAGCTAATTTTGGCTCTACTTTTATTTGTTATTCTTTCTTGTGCCATTTTAATTTTAGTTGACTTAAGTTGAAGCAAATTGCAAAATTAGTCTTTTTCAAATTTTTCTCCCACTGCCAACTAAAATTCTGAATTAAGGTTTTGATACAAGAAAGCCTGACATTCTTTTTTTGAGCCAAAGATGTTTGTAAGCTGCCTTAGAACCTAATATCCATATGCTCACAAATGTATAGCCATATTAAACATATACTTGCACACATGATATACACAAAATGCCAACAAAAAGGTTGCTTGAAAACTAGCAATTCTATGTTATTATTGTAGCTGGTGATTTAGTTAAATTTCTGTGTCTTGAATACTCTAATTGTTGTTCTATATACCACCAAATATATAGATAAATCTTTGACAGAATTTTTAAGTATCAGTATTTATCTCTTCTTCTTCTTCTTCTTCTTCTTCTTCTTCTTCTTTTTTTTTTTTTTTTTTTAC